AATAATAATAATAAAATTTAGCTATGGATTTTTTTTTGTATTTTTCCAAATAAATCTAATCAAGATATAATATTTTGAAGTATGAAAAAGTAGTATTAACATTTCTTACATAAAAATTATTATACAAATAAATAACACTACAATAAATTTATACTATGTATAAAACATTTTTATATTTTGCATTTCTATGCATTTTACGTAAATATGCATATTTTAAGAAAGTTATATTTATTAATAATAAACAATATTTCTTTTTTACATCTCAAGTTATTTTAAAAATGTTATCATCCTGTTATTGGCCAGCTTATTATTTGTAGTCGCCATTTCATCGTGCAGATACTATTTTTATACATGTAGAAAACTACCCTTAGTATTTTAAAATATTTTAGTAATAAATATATTTCATCTGTAATCATATTCTGTAATTTCTACAGAACGAAGTGTAAAGACTACAACAGAATATCAAATGGCTCTAGGAATAGTTTTGTTACTTCCGTACAATTTTTATCAATATAATTATCATCATAATTATATTTATTAATAGTAATAACGATAGATATATTTACCTTCAAAGATTAAGAGTCTAAAAACTCTTAACAAAGCAACAAAAATATTGAAATTCAGAAAATTTCTTCCCTCGCTAACTGTTGTGAAGAAGTTGCTTGATTATGGATGATGTATATCCTCAATCTGGCAGGATGTGGCTAAAATGACTGTTTGAGGTAAGTTTATATTCTAGGACCTTGGGTCAAATAACAGTAACATTGTTCCATGCTCCTTGTTATGACTGAGCATGCCTAATGGAATTTAGGAGATAAAAAAAAATACAGCATGTATGCACCTAACAGAAAAAAGGCACAAAAATGAACAAAACACAAGAAGAAAGCAATTGATGCTGAGTGAATATAAGGATTGCCTCTTATGTGTCCAATAGCTGCAAGGATCACTTCACTGTAGCAATAAGTGTAACAATTGTCTTCTCATGTGGCCAGCAGCTGTTTCTTTCTGATCACATACACATACTTGCTCTTACATACTTATTCAAACACATGTCAGCTCAGGTTAGATGGAGTGAAAGATAATTTATATCAATATTAATACTAATTTAAAAATGCAATGATTTGCCTCACTTCTATCACAATATGACAGTGCCTAGGAATGTACAACGTAATTATAAATTTTTTAACAGTCATTATTAGAATTTTTGAGAATGAATTTCCTGAAAATTTAATACAGGTATACCTCGACTTACGTCGTTTTTCGACTTAAGTCGTTTTCCTGGAACCAATTACCGACGTAAGGCGAGGTATACCTGTAGTTCTTAATTCTGTTAAGATATCAAAATTTTTTGTTACATTATTTCTGGCTGTTAAACTTTATCTATGCAGTTATGATATTTATTCAAAATTATTTTATTTAAGTTCATTTTAACATTGTTGATAAGAACATTAGAGAATTCCAGTTGGCTCTTTATTAGCATCTCTGTCCCTTATCAATAATAGCAAAGCCAAAATCAAATTTTAAATGATAAAATTTTGTATCTGAATGGATATACAGTAGACCCCCCTATAACGCGGGTTCATATAATGCGGATTCGTATATTGTGGCAAAAAAATTGCAACCGTATTCATATAAAGACACTAAAAGAGACTCGTAAAATGTGGTAAAACGTCATCCCCGAGTTGTGTTGCAACAGGATTGGTCAAATCTGGACCAATAGTGGGCGAGCATCCGAACTACTTACACGCTACGGAGAGTTTAGGCGGGTAAGTTGAGTTTACTATTGTCTGTACAGTATATAGGCCTAACTTAGGTACTGTAAGTCTAATACAGTACTGTAATTTTATACATTTCTTGTGAAAAAAAACATTTCTTATTCAACGGTCATAAAAATTATTTCTATTAATGATATCTCCAAAGTTCAGTAAATTTTTCGCAGAAAAATAATTTATCAGGAAACACGCACCCACCGTTCGATGCGCCACTCCACAACGAAAACAAGCATAAGCAATGGCATCTTCGAAGGTGCACACTTGGTAAGAAATCCTACGATTTTTTTGTTTATAGCATAGTTTATATGGATTATTCCCAAAAAATTATACGTGTTTTGGAAATGTTGAGTCAAATTAGTCTAGAATCAATTAATTTTATGGAAGAAAACCTTTCAAACAGCCGTAGTCCATAAACTGCACACGTGCTGGGCTTTGATTGGCTCATGTATTTAAGGATTCCTACAACAGAAAATTCTTATCAAGCAAAACATATCTACCGCAGACTGTATATTGGTATTTACAAGTATACAGGTTCCATATTATTGAAGGAGCAGTCTAATCTATGGATTAACAAGCTTCATCATCATTGTCTTCAAAACACATTTATTTTCTGTCCTCTTTTTCTATGCCATCCATGAAGCATTTTAATTCTGATGATATGGCATTTGATTGTTTTTTTTCTTCATACATTGCAAATGTGTGAAAAGCAATAAAATTCAAACATGAAATTGATAATACATCATTAAAAAACACTGTTTTGATTGGCAGTATAAAATTGGAAATAGTCATTAGTTACTACTCCCAATTTTATACATCACATACTTTCAAACATACTTTCATTATCAAAGTACTTTGCTTTGTAATGCTTTTTGAATACAAAATGTTATAGGTACCTCAGATATTTGAAAGATATATTATGTTGTATCTTACAAGACATTATTGAATATAGTTCTATAATTGCTGAAACTTGCCTAATATTTTATGTAAACATGTTTCATGATATAAAAGAAAGATTGAGAGTATAAGACAAATATTGCCATGGAAAAAATAATCATGGTCCTCTCAGAAAGTCATGGATGTTCTGCAGAAATAATGTCATAAATAACTTCTTTTTTTTATGGTTCAAGGCTTGAACATGTTTCATCTTCTTATAAGTTATAGTAAATACTTCAAAAAATTAGCATTGAAGTAAATTAGATTTTTACAGTTTTTAAAAGATATCTATATACAAATAAATGAGGCAATTAAGATTTTACTATCAAGCATGCCCATGAATTTTTGTTATAGATTTTAAATTTAAATTCTGTAGAAACACACAATTTTTATAGATAGATTATTTATTTATCTTTAATTACATTATCATATAGATTGTGTAAATTTATTTTATTGCTCTGCTGTTATAACGCACAAATTACAAGAGTGAGAAGAAACATATTGTAATAATGAATGAAAATATTTCACAATAAAATACCTTTCAGAAACATGAGACATGCAAAATATAGAAGGTGAAATGCATAAATAAATATTTCAACAAATTATATAAATATAATTGCACTTGTTGGTTTTAGATTTTCTTTTGCTTTTTTAACATTATATGCATTCAAACATTTTGCTATTTAAAATATATGACTGTGAAATGTGAATAAAGTAATATACAGTATTATGTTTGCAAATATGTAATAAAATGCATACTTCAAATTACTTATTTTATGATTATTGGCATTTTAGAAAAAAAGCTACCACAATAGATGCAATTCATGATAAATGCATTACAACAGAATATTCCATTAGTTTTTGCAGAATTTCTCTATTTCATGTAAAAATGATGAAAATCAATTTGTGTTTGCATTATCAATTATAGGATCAATAATATTTAGAATTCTATCTACAATTTTTAATTGTACCTAGACCTACAACTAAACAATTCTTGTTCATTTGTTATGTCTAGATGTCACTTCATAGTATCTACTACTAAAAATTGAGAAACTCGTTTCTGTAGGATCAAACTGTGGAGAATATGCTGATAAATTTTTGTAAATGATGCCTTCAACAGAAATGGCTTAATTACTTCAGAATAATGAAATTTAATATTATCCATTATTAATCATAAATCTGCTGTTTAGATAATGACAACTTTTCTGAGATTTGTCTTTTCAAGAAAAACTTTAAGGTTATATTATACTATAATACTATAAATACTATAATTTTAAAAACGTTATAATTTTGAGAAAATTATGACTATTATATGTACAGCTATTCTGAATAAATGGGAGCTAGATTGCATAAATGTGCTAATTATGGATCTAAGAGAGCCTGTTGATGTTGCAGAGTAAAGGAATTAAAGTGTTTCTAAATGATTCTCTCCACTAATATAGTTGTTGTTTATTCCCAAGAAGAATCAAGATTCATCACTAAAGATGATATGCTGCCAGTCTTTATCAGTCCATGTTTCTTTGTTTTGGCATTATTGCAAATCAAGTTGACAATATTGGGATGCTAATGACAGGATACATAGCAGCCTCTGTGCATGCAAATTTGCCTCTGCTAGTCACCTGCCAAAGATACAAGTGACAGGGTTAGGTACTGAGGCTCTGGATGGACAAAGACACCATTGCAGCTGTATGTGTCTGTTTCATGATCATGCAATCATTTCTTCTATGGTTTGTCTGAAGCATGCAGAACCTGCTTGCCACATATTCATATATACACATAACCTTTGCTCCCAACACCACTTCACAGTCAGGTTAGAACATCCCAGGTGACAGTTTGATGAAATGGTATTTTGCTTCCCTAAGTTCCACAATGCAGTAATAGTCAGGTGTTTAATGACTGCATTGTACAGGCTTGCTTGATGTTATAAGACCTCAAAACAGCACTGTAGTCATTTAATATCTGAGACATTACTGTATGCTGAGTTTTAAGGTAATCAAGCAATTTTCACTGGATGCATAACTTTTTGGTCAGTGAGGGAACATGGAATGAACATAAAATGTATAAAAATATTTCTTCAAAATCCGTAGTTTACAAAAAAAATACATTTCCATATAAAACAATGTTTTAAATAAAACTAGTAAATTTATAGTTATTAACTTTCAATGATAATATAGAGATTTCAAGGTTACTAAAGTATGATAATTTCTGAAATTGAATTTACTTTAATTTTATTTTAAACAACTAATTGGATTGATATTATAATTTATTAATTTTGTATTTATATCAATTTTTCAGCATATGTTGGAATGGATAAAATTCAAGATGATGAATATTGTGATAAAGAATCATCTGCACAACCTGAAAATGCAAGAAGAATTTCAGCAATTTTAGATTCAGGAATTCAAATGTTGAAAGAATTAGAAAAGATGGATATAGAAGGTCAATCAAATTCATCACCAACTGACTCAATATCAAGTAAAAGTGAAGTAGATTGCCCTAACATTAGTCTTTCAGAAAATAGATCAGAGAATGTGTCTGAAATTGATCAAATGACAACTGAAGATTATGTAACTGAATTTATGAACAAATATATGGTAATGCCAGAACCTATTAATCTTGATGACAAAACAGATGGTGATGAACACCTTTTATATGATTTTCCTACTGACATTTCATATAGTGTGCATCGAAGATACTGTCGAATGATGAGACAGTATTGGGATAGGCTAAGTAATTTCATTGCAGATAGTAATCTCTATAAAAATCATTTTTCTAGTAAAGATGTGTTGAAGTTAAATGAAGCTGTTAAAGGCTCAATGGCAATGCCTTGGTATCGTGTACAGAAACATACACTTGCAAAAAAGTTTGAAAAAATTAAAGTTATTATGAATAATCCATTTATTTCCCCATTTTCTGCTTCAGATGAAATGTTAAGTAAGATGCCACCTGTATATCTTATGGTAAGTTTATTTAAAATATTATCAAAGTAATTTGGTATTCTTTATTAATTAAATCTTTCATTATATGCCTAAAAAATTTTTCATAAACATATTTTGAATGTAAAACAATTTATATACCATATAATATAATATATAGATAATTATATTATAAATTAAAAGTAGTCTTTACATTATGCATTTTATGTCATAACTATAGTTCAGTTCACTATAACTTTGGACTATTGACAAGACTAAGCAGTCTTTTAACACATTTATTATTATAACATATAATAATAATTTTGTAAGGGTAATTAGTTAAGGTTATATATAACATGTTACACCTATCTTTGGACTATATTTTGTCATGAATTACTTATTACTGTTCATGGTCCATAGCTTTTACAGTAGTCCAAAGTTAAGGTAAACATTACTATAAAAAAAATGGTAGAAGTGGATTCAGCATAAACAAATACATAAGTTATCAGATATATATTTAATAGTAAGAAACAGAAAATAGCAACTAGCAAAGATAAATAAACAGAAAACAAGTAAAATAAAATTGTTTTTCAATTAATAAAATTTTAATCACCAATAGAAAACTCTATATAAAGGTGTATTCTATAAATATAAAGGTACTAATAGATTTCCAAATAAAATTATTTACACTGAAATCTTTGCAAAGATAATTTACCACCAGGAGTGAAACCTATGGCTTAATTTTTTTCACTTGCTTGAACTTTCACAAAAGCACATATAAAAAAATGATAATCATTTGTTGAGACAGAAAAAAATAAATAATAATTTTAAAGAATTACAATCAGTTTGATTGTCCCAAAAATATAAAAGCACATAACAAAATGAACTGAAACAATAACATGTTAGTAAATTTTATTTAACGATAACCTAATATCCAATGAAGTCTCCTTTGGCTAAAATAACTTTGTAAAAGCAGTCTGGTATTGAATGTATGAGTTTTGGAGGACAGATGTGCTTATTTCTTTCCAGTGATGAATTATGGCTTGTTTTAGTTTCTCCACACTTATATTGCTGCCCGCTTGCATATAAAACTAGCCAGAATACACCAAAGATTTTCCATTGGATTAAGATCAGGAGATAGATCTGTCCAATAATAATAGGCACTCCATTAGCTAAAAACCATTCATAAATAGTTAGCTGTTTGAATTGGAGCATTATCTTGTTGAAAGAACCATTGATTCCCAGAAATATATTCCACAAAGAGAAGAGATTGCTTGTTAACATGTCTTGATAATCATTTGTTTTTGTATGCCCTTGTAAAAAAGTAAGTGGAGTCTTTTCTTGCCAACTAAAGCCACCCTACACCATAATTGAGCCTTGTTATAGTTTGGACTACAGTCCTTCCTCTTTTCTCAAATCATGCCAGTAATAGCTCCAATCATCTGGACCATTAAGGTTGAATTTTTTTCTTGTTATTCTAAATAATTTGTTTCCATGTATCTATCCAGCTTATTTTTTCTTGGCCTATCGTAAACATTTCTCATTGTGAATGGGCTTTAGTGATGGGATAGGTTTTCTTGACTTATATACAAGATGCTCGCATATCTGCATATTTCCAATAGTTGATTTGCAAACATTACACTCAAGTGTTGCTAACTACTGAAATGATGATTTTTTGCTGGCAATCTGGTGAGCTTGTTTTGCCCTGTTTGTGCTTTGAAGGTCCTGTGATTTCTTTTGACATATTGGTTTTCCAAGTTTAATAAGTTGTTGATTATAGAGGATGATCAATTTAATTTTTTAGCAATTGCTCTTGCAGAGTAATTTTTACCTGTAAGAGCAAGATGTCCACCTTTCTCTAAGTCTATTAGGGTTTTGCCTCAGCCCATTCTTAAATTAGTGATCCTAACCAACTACAGTCATTTCTAGTAGTTCTTGCTTAGTTAATGATGACCTCTAGTATCTTAATATCAACCTGCCTTTATATTTTTGGGAATCAACTTTAAAGTGAATGTTTAAAATTTTTCTGTTTTAATAAATTATTATTATTTTTTAAATATATATTTTTAAAGATTAAATAAACTAAAGCAGAATTTGCAAATTTTTCTGTAAGAATGATTTTATACAGAAATATACTAGTGCCTTTATATTTATGAGACACACATTACAAGGTAGGGTTTTCTCACATCAATCTTACATTTTAACAAAATATGTATCATTCAATAGAAGAAAAAAATAAGAAGACCCATGTTTTTTTTTTTTTTTTTTATCTAGCAGGTCAATCATTTGCGAGAAAAAGGGTTCTAAAATCTTCTAATGTAATTCATATAGAAATATAGCATTGTCTCTGGACTGGGCATTTACATATAATGAATTATGTGCTGCTATTCTTAAACACATTAATATGCACATGGCAGAATTCAGGATATGTGACAGAAGAGAGAGCATTATAAGTTTTTCTAATATTATTGATGTAAATTTTACATTTCCCAAAACAAAATGTTCATTAGAAGCTTGTGATTGAAATGCCTTCATTTCATCTGCTCATGCTAAACAATTAATTAGTTGTAAACATTGTATTTTTCCTTTACATTTATGCTAAACCATAAAAAGTAAAAACTTTGAGCAAAATCAATCTCTTGATATTCCTAGTCTATATTCACAATGTTACCACTGTGCCATCAGTGCTATATTTCTATATGAATTAGAACATTTTAGAACACTATTTCTTGGAAACAACTTGAAAAAGAACAGATAAATGAAAAAATATGAGTCTTCTTATTTTTTCCTCTACGGAATGATATATATTTTATTAAAACATAAGACTGACATGAGAAAACCCTCCCTTGTTAGTAAAATCTGGAAAAGCCTGGACTCAATAGGACTAACTTGTTTTTCCATGTCTCACAGGTTTTCTGCCATTGACAGAATAGCAGAAAACCTGAGAGACATGGCTATTTTTTTACTCTTTTTTATGCTCTCTATTGTTTATACAAATGCTCTGAAAATGTTTCTTTTTCCCTTTTATGAGAATGGATGAAACATGTTCTTTTTTTATGATTTACACATGATTATTCAAATTGCATTTTATACAGATGTCTACATATATTGTAAAAATTTTACATATAAATAAATGAGCTTTTTAATAAAACAATCTAACTTTGTTTACTTAGTTGTCTTTGGTTTTCTAATGAAGTTATTGAAACAATTTTCTAAGTCTATAGTTATCAAAAAAATTCTTGGTCTTCTTTAGCTTCTCAAAACTCCTTCAAAGCTTTTAATAAAAGCTTAAAAACTTATGTTTGATTTAAACTCAGGTTCTTTTAGCTGGTCATTGTTTTTAGTTTCAAGTCTGCAATAAATTTTTGTCTTTCACATATTATGTACCCAGTACTTCTAAGTAACAAAAAAGTTTAAGTTGTAAGACTAAATAATTAACACAATACAACTTGAACCTCATGTGAAATATCACATAAAAAGAAAGTAAAAAAGATACACTGATGCAGCATTAACAGTTTTTGTTTTCACTAGTGATTTCAATGAACTTATGTTTATCATCTTCAGGCAAACAAAATTTAAAAATAGAACACAATATTCTAATGTAAATGGAACAAATGTCATTTAAATTGAAATTAAGTCATTAAGAACATGATCAAAATTTGATTATGCAAGATATTGAAATATTGATTGCAAGATAATGCAGTGCATTTGTAGATATACACACCTACATCAAAGGTGTGATGGCAGATGCATATCACTGTTTAGCTGTTTATATAAAATAACCCACACACTGGATAGGTCAAGAGTGGGAGTGTTGTGTGGCTGCAATGCTGTTGTAAGGAGAGATTCCAATATGAAAATGAGTTCTGACACAGCAGCATCTGATTAGTGTTGTTTGAGCCCATAACGGATTGTAGTTCTGTTTGAGCACCTTTTTTACAAGCTCCGTAGTATGCTTTCCTTTCACCACATCATCTTGGTGTTTGGCTAGGCTGCTAGCAATCATTTGTATTATGGCTGAATGTTCTTCATGTTCACCTGTACAGGGTTTTCTAACAGTACAGCATAGACTCTCGACTGTTCATAGGTGGAGAGTTTATCCTGATCATTGCAGATGAATCTGCATAAATTTGGTAGTGGGGATAGGGGCAGGAGAAAGTTGTGTTGCCTGAATTTACAGGAAATGCATATGAAGAGGAATTCAAGGTATGCTAATGACGATTGAACTATTGGCACCTCCTCTTGTTACACAATGTTGTGCTTGGAAATAGAGATTTCCTGACCACAGCTGCTAAGTACAGTACAACAACAGGTAGTGGATGCCAAGCAGGGAATTGAATGTACTGTGCTCAATTTCTCTTGTAATCAGTTCCACTAGAACAGCAGATAAAGAGGAACTGATGTGGAGCTCCTGTTTCTGTAAATAAACTTTCCCATTGAGACGAAGTAGTTGTTCTCCGTGATGATGAATAGCACATCACATATATCTAGTATCTGTTGAGCACTAAGACCTTTCTTGAGGAGTAGAGAATTAATAAGCATATAAGCATTGTGGCTTTGAAAGTGGGCATTGAAGGGTACAAGGTTTCTACATCCAGTTTGTAGAAGCTGTATGCTCTGGTTTGTAACACACCAATAACTGAAGTGATGGTGGGCATAGCAACCAAGGATGAGGGAGTAACCAAAAAAGATGCTCGAACAGAACTACAACCCATTATGGGCTCAAACAAAGTTACTCAGATGCTGCAGCGACCATAAATTTGTTTCTATATGGGAATCTCCTCCTTACAATCTTGGAGCCATGCAACACTCCCACGCTTGACCTGCCCAACATGTGGGTTGCCCTATATAAATGACTAAATAGTGATATGCATCCACCATCACATCTTTGATGTGGGTGTATATCCACACATGCACTGCATGATGTTTCAATATCTTGCCTAATTGAATTTTGATCACACTCATAATGACTTTTAATTTCAATTTAAATGACATTTGTTCAATTTAAGTTAGAATATTGTATTCTATTTTTAAATTTTGTTTGC